AAAACAGTCCAATGTTTTACCATTTATTCCTGTTAACATTTTTTATTATGAAATATTACAAACACACAGAAAATTAGAATAATATAACAGATACCTGTGTACTCACTATACAGCCTTGTCAAATCTTTATATTTTGTCCTATTTGTTTCAGTTAAGTAAAAATTAATTATGCAATTGGAACACTCCCTCCTCAATATGTACCCCTTCCCTCATCCTATTTCTCTCCTATCTTGGAGGCAACCACCATTCTGGATTTATTGTTTTTGTGCATTCTTATGCACACATTATACACTATCGTGTGTCTTTAAGAGTTTTTTACTGCTACAGTTTTGATACAATGGCTCTATGTTATTTCTTTTATGTGCTGCTGTATTCTATTGTATGAATATTACACTTATCTATTTCTACTTATATTTAGATCATTTTCATAATCTTTGTAATAACAAGCAATACTAGAAAGAAAATTATGATACTCATCTCCTGTTACAAAGTGTTTTTCCAGATACATATTTAAAAATGGAATTGGAGAATCAAAAGACAGGTGTGTCTCCAACTTTTTTACATGTGGCCAAATTGTTCTCCAAATCAGTTGTCCCCATTCACACTCCCGCTAGCAGCAGATGAGAATTCCCACCTCTTGGTATCTTTATATAGCTTCACATTTTTGCCAATTTGAAAATGTGAAACTTACATTGTTTTAGAGGAAACATTTCCCTAAACACTAACAGTTCATACCTATTTTGAAATGCTTCTGCCACCATAATTTTCTCCCATGTTACTTGCCTATATCTTTGCTTTGCCTATTTTTCTTTTAGGTCATTCATCTTTTCCTTATTGATTTCTAAGCATTCTCTAAAACCTTTTCTCAGACATCTTCCTCCATACTGCAAGCAGATTCTTTAAGTAAATTTTTAATTAACATATAACATACAGACAGAAAAGTACAAAGATTATAACTGTATAGTTTGACAAGTCTTCACAAAGGTTACTAGTGGCCACATCACCAAATAGAAACCTACTAGCACCCAGAATATCCCCTTTTGTCCCTCCTCCAAAGGGTAACACAATACCAACTCCTAACACTATGCATCATTTTTGCCTATTTTTGAACTTTATATAAATAGAATTACTACACACTATGTACTGCTTAGTGTATGGCTTCTTCCATTCAACAATATTTCTGAAAGATTCACCTATGTTGTTTGCTCTTTCTGATACATTGTATTTCATTGTATAAATGTATTACAATTTATTTAGCGGAGCTACAGTCAGTAGATATGGATGACAGCTTCAGGGCTCTTCCAAAGAGTGCTGCTATGAACATTCTTTTGTACATGTCTTTTGGAAATTCATATCTGCATTCCTGCAGGGCATATACCTAGGAATACAACAGTTGGGTGATAGGGTATTATATGTTCAGCTTTCATAAATACTTCCAAACAAGTTTCAAAGGTAGTTTTTTCAACTTATACTCCCATCTACAGTGTTTGGGGCTTGCAACTGCTCATAGCCTCATCAAGACTTGGTATTATTTGTCTTGCTCATTTAAGACATTCTGGAGAAAATATAGTGAAATCTTGGTAATTTGCATTTTCTACTGAAGTTCATCACCTTTTCAAATATCCTCTCCCACACTGTGACTTGCTTCATTATTAATTTTATGGTGCTCTTTGATGAACACAAGTTATTAGTTTCATGCAGTCCCCTTTTTCTTTTTAATGAGTGCTTTTTGTGTTTAAAAATTTGCTATCTCAAAAGTCATGAAGACATTATTTTATGCTTTCATTTAGATGTTTTATTGTTTTAACCTTGCACACATAGATCTACAATCCATCTGAAATTGATTTTTACATATAGTTGAAGTAGGAGATCAAGATTCCTTTTTTTATATGGACATGCAATTGATCCAGCACCATTTATTAAAGAGATCATCCTTGCCTCACTGCACTGAAGCAATCCCCTTCTCAAAATTCAAGTGGCTTGTGTGAGTCTATTACCGGACTCTATTCCAGTGGTCCCCAATCTTTTTGGTACCTGGGACTGGTTTCGTGGAAGTCAAGGGGGGCATGGTTTTGGAATGAAACAGTTCCACCTCACATCATCAGGCATTGGTTAGAGTCTCATAAGGGGTGCACAACCTAGATCCCTCGCATATGCAGTTCACAATATGGTTTGCGCTCCTATGAGAATCTAATGCCAATGCTGGTCTGACAGGAGGAGGGGCTCAGGTGGTAATGCTGGCTCGCCCGTGGCTCATCTCCTGCTGTAAAGACTGGCTGGGGCTTGGGGAGCCCTGCTCTGTTCTGTTCAGTTTGTCTATTTGTCTTTTCTTACATCCGTACCACAGCATCTGAAATACTGCAGTTTTATAAGAAGCCACAATATCTGATGATAAAAGCCCTCTAGGTTTGTTCTGCTTTTTCAAAATTTTGGTGGTTATTTACGGCCCTTTTCATTTCCATACAAATTTTAGAATCTGCTTTTCAATTTTCAAAAAACTTCTAGGATTGCATTGTATTTATGAATCTATAGATCAATTTAGAGAGAACTGGCATCTTTACAATATTAAGCTTCTCGATCTATAAACATGATGTATTCCTCCATTTACTTAGGTCTTTTTAATTTCCCTTAATAATTATGTGTTTTTCACTTCTTCTATTAGATTTATTCTAGGTATTTGACCTTTTTGATGCTGTTGTAAATGCTATTCTAAATTTCACTTTCTACTTGCTTATTGCTAGCATACAGAAATACAATTGACTTTGTATACAGCGACCTTACAAAGTATCTTTATAGCTTATCTACAGATAGAGTCTCAGGACTTTTTTGTGACATAGACAATTGTGTCATCTGAGAATAATGATAGCTTTATTTCTTTGTTATCAATCTCTATGCCTTTAATTCCTTTTATTTGCTTTATTGTTTTGACTAAGACCTCAATATTGAATAGAATTGAGGTAAAATGAGCATCCTGTCTTAGTCCCCATCTCAGGGGAAAAACTTACCATAATTCACACTAAGTGCAATGTTCTGCAATGATTTTTTTTTTATCCCTAGATTTAAAATATTCATTACATGAGTAGTTTGCTTCATTTGAGAATCCATCTCTTTCTTATCGAAAAAGTAACCTTGAGTTCCTTTAAATTATTTAATTTAACAACATTCAGTAGTACTTGATAAATTTCTGACATATGATTTTCACCTTGAATAGTAATGTAATGTATACCAGTATTTTTTAAGGAGTCTACCTCTGCTTTGCTGCTTGGATCTCACCTATTTGTGTGTGTGTGTGTGTGTGTGTGTGTGTGTGAGAGAGAGAGAGTGTGTGTGTCTTTAAATAAAAGGAAATAAGAATATATAGACTGGGGTTCATGCTAAAGCTATTCAGGTCACTTATGCGTTTATTTATTTATTTATTTATTTATTTATTTAGAGGCTCACTCTAGCACCCAGGCTGGAGTGCAGTGGTGTGACCTCGGCTCACTGCAACATCTGCCTCCCGAGTTCAAGCGATTCTTGTGCCTCAGCCTCCCGAGTAGCTGGGATTACAGGTGCATGCCACCCAGGCCTGGCTAATTTTCATATTTTTTTTTAGTAGAGATGGGGTTTCACCATGTTGGCCAGGCTAGTCTTGAACTCCCAACCTCAGGTGATCCATCCGCCTTGGTCTCCCAAAGTGCTAGGATTACAGGCATGAACCATGGTGCCCAGCCCACATTTTTTTGTTTTTATTATACTTTAAGTTCTAGGGTACATGTGCACAACGTGCAGGTTTGTTACATATGTACACATTGAGAGCCAGTCGTGGTGTCGCTGCACCCATCTAACTCATCATTCTACCTACGGTGTATATCTCTAATGCTATCCCTCCCTGCTACCCCTCCCACAATAGCACCGGGTGTGATGTCCCACTTCCTGGTCCAAGTATTCTCATTGTTCAATTCACCCACCTATGATAGAACATGCAGTATTTGGTTTTCTGTTCTTGCTGATTAGTTTGCTGACGAATGATGGTTTCCAGCCCTGCTCCATTCCCTTACAAAAAGCACCGAACTCATCCTTTTTTATGGCTGCAATAGTATTCCATGGTGTATATGTGCCACAGTTTTCTTAATCCACAGCCTTGTCACTGGATGGACGTTTGGGTTGATTCCAAGTCTTTGCTATTGTGAATAGTCGCCACAATGAAACCGATCGTTGCATGTGTCTTTTAATAGCAAGCATGACTTATTAATCCTTTGGTATATCCCCAGTCAATGGAGAGCTGGGTCAAGAATGGTATTTCTAATTCTAGATCTTGAGGAATCGCCCACACGTTTTCCCACAATGGTATGAACTAGTTTACAGTCCCACCAACAGTGTAAGAACGTGTCCTGACTTTCTCCCATCCTCTCCAGCCCTTTTGTGTTCCTGATTTTTTAATGATTGGCCACTTCTAACTGTGGTGGAGGTATGCTTAACTGTGGTTTTGATTTGCATTTCTCTGATCGCGAAGTGAAGATGACCATTTTTGTCATGTTCGTTGCTGCCATGAACGTTCTTCTTTTGAGCATTATCCGGTGTTCATATCGCTTCGCCCACTGTTTTGATGGGTTGGTTATTTTTCTTGTAAAATTTGATTGAGTTCTTATATCGCGTTCTGATATTTAGCCCTTTTGTCAGATGACGTAGTTGCAAAAATGTTCTCCCCCATTTTCGTTTTTCTCTCGCTGGACAGGGGGCGCAGGCCATTTGTTGCCTCCTTCACCTCTGAGATGGTAGCTGGTAGTCCCTTTCCCAGACCCTCTTTCAGTCTCAACATTAGATCCCATTGTCCACATTTTTCGCTTTTGTTGCCCCATTCGCTTTGCTGCTCCATGCTACTCCTGGAATGGTATCCGCCTAGGGTTTTTATGGTTTTAGGTCTAACATTTAAGTCTCTAATCCATCTTGAATTAATTTTCGTATAAGGAGTAAGGAAATATTTTAAATTTAAACTAAAATGAGATTGGGATGATATTTGAAGCCTGAAGATCCACTGATATTTTTTTCATTCGACAAGCAATTTTGCAGCAATTAGGATGCACCAAGAACCAGTCTCTGGGGACTTTGAAGGCTGAGTATTTGCTAATTATTTTATTTAACAAGCTTTTTTTTTTTCCCCTCAAGAAATTATTATGTATCTTGAACTGTACAAGGTCCTGGAGATATGAAGGAGATCTCAAGCAGTTCCTATTGCACAGGGAGAAAATGAGACATAAACAGATATATCCCACAGTATGATAAACACAATAATAGAAGGATGCATGTGGAGATACACATAGGGGTCCCCAGCTCACTCTTGGCCAGGGGCAGTTGGCATCTGTGAAGAGTTTGTACAGGAGACGATGCCTGAGTTGAAGCATAAAAGATAAATATGAACTAACTGGGCAAAGAGGAATAGAGGTAGAAATATTGCATCAAAGCAAATGGCCAAAAGTAAACAAGCAAAACAGCATTTGTTCATTCAACAAATATTTATTGAGTGGTTCCTATGTCACAGACATAGCATTTGGCATAAGTTTCTGATAAATAAAAATAGACATAGTCCCTGCTCTTCTGAGTAATTTTCAGAAGTAGGGTAAGAGATATTTATAAAATCCTATTTGAGACTTTTTGTCCAAGTATTCATTAACCTCCAAACATATTCTTATAGTCTGAATATTATTACATTACTAAAACAAAAATCAGTGTCTAATAAGTAGCTATAATTTCAGAGGCAGTTTTCCAATACTTTTAGTGGGAAGTCTCAGAAATTCATTTACAGTTTGATTTTTCCATCTTGGACTACAGTTTCTGTTTTTTTGAGACGAGGTCTCACTCTGTCGCCGAGGCTTAGGTGCAGTGGTATGATCATAGCTCACTGCAGCCTTGAACTCCTGGACTCAAGTGATCCTCCCACCTCAGCCTACAGAGTAGCTTGGACTAGAGGCATGTGCCACCACGCCTGGCTAATTTTTAAATTTTTGTTGTTGTTGTTGTTAGAGATGAAGGTCTCACTATGTTGCCTGGGCTGGTCTTGAACTCCTGGCCTCTCGTGATCCTCAAACCTCTGTCACTCAAAGTTCTGGGATTACAGGCATGAACCACTGTGCCTGGCAACTTAGAAACTGTTTTATAAGTGATGGTTAGGTTTACCCTCCAGCACTCAAAGCCTATTTAACCCATAATATACAGAAAGTATTAATAGTTCTATTTCAAATACACTGAATCACTTATTATGCAATATCTATGAAAAAATGCTAGGCTTTAGGGATACATGTTTGTAAAAGATGACACAGCCCTCGGTCTCATAGAAGTTACAATTTAGTAGAAGAGACAAATAACTAAACAACCACACAAATGAATGTATGATGATGATCTGAGATGATGGCTATAAAATGAATGGACCAGTGGAGACATAATGAAACACCACAGCCTACACCTTGGGTCTGGAAAGACCAATGTGGCATCCAGGCAAAGGAGTACAGGAAGAACATTCTGGAAAAGGTATTAAAGGAACTGGGACAAGGTCAGTGTGGGTGGTGTAGGGCAAGAGAGGAGGACAGTGGCATGAGAAAGGCCATGTCCAGACTATACTTTGCCTAGTGAGCCATACCATTTCTTTCTAATAGCAAAAAGAAGTCCCTGGGAGACTAAAAACAGTGCAGTTAGTATCATGATAGATTTACATATTAAAATAGTTCATCCTACCTACACTGTGAAAAAATATGCTACAGAATCCATGTGAAAAAAAAGATGCTACAGAGTCCAGTTGGATGCAAGGCATCCAGTTAGAAGGTTTCTGCACTGATGAAGGAGAGGTGACAGTGGCTCACACCAGAGTGGCAGTAGTAGAGATGTAATAAAAGATTAATGAGCTAGAAAGCTACTTATGTGATAGGACCTGGTTAGGGATTACTGAGAGGGTTGAGAGAAAGAATGACTACACATTTTCAGGGCTACTTAGGAAGTAGAACTGATTGAATGTTGGGAGTGAAGGAGAAAAATGAATGGGCAGTATGCAGATAGATATACAGCTTGAACAATAGGATGTATGGTGATATAGCCACTAACATCAACTAAGACACAGCAGGAGGCTTAGGAATAAAGGTGATGAGTTCCGTTTTGGACTTGTTGCATTTAGATACATTGGGTATCGAGATATGAGGCTAGCATATGATTACAGGATAGCACTCTGATACTTGAAGACTGGAGAAGAGATGTAGATATGGGGAATCATCATTTTGCAGGTTACACATGCCCCATCAGTGGGGTTGAGATGGGACTGTGAGGAAGCACAACTGTTAAGAAAATAGGGTTGCAGGTCTGATCACCTCTTGCATTAATTAATGCAGAGTCCAATTAATGAAAGTCCAAATTAACAAAAGAGTGCAACCTCTTTTCAGTAAAATGTTTATACAGCTCCCAATAATTTACACCTTGTCCATGCAATCTCCCTAGGTCTAACTGCTGGCTTGCCTCCAGGAAAGCAAAGTGACTGAGAATCAGATCCACTAGTCATCATTTTACTCTAATATAGTGAGATCGTGCATTGAGTGAAGAAAAGCAGAATTATTTTCAAATTTCAGCCTTTTTTGCAATCTTACTGTTCCTGTCTGAGAACTGGTCTTTCACCATTCTTTCTACTACTGCGACATACCAACGTTTATGGAACAGTACACCCAAGCCAGGCTCATTGTTTACCACTTTCAGGAAACTATTTGCAAACCCGAGATGGGATTAGAACACTCATTACAGCTAACATTTATTTTTTTCATTATTAAACTTTATTGGGTATCAACAAAATGAAAAATTAGATTTGGTACAAATCTTGAGAGATAAACTTTTATTTCAAGCCTTGTTAAAAACATGTCTAAAATAATTTGGTTCACTTTCCTGCTTTCCAGAAAACCACTACATAAAATATTGGCTACACCTCAAGGTATTCAGAAGGTTCTATTCATTAGAACTCTTGGTTGCAAGTGACAGAAACCTACCTGAACAATAAGCTGCTTTCTTTCCACTTGAGTTGCTTTCTCCCTGTGTCTAAGTAGCAAGAACATGGAATAATTCTCATTGGGCTTGTATCGCACCAAGGTGCCTTTTTGCCCAATCACCTTGGTGAAGAGATGAGATATTGCCTTGGATCATGCCTGGGCCATCTACCCAACTTGTGGTCAGAAGGAAAGTTCTGCTACCAGAATAAAGAAGATGGCAAATTAACAAGACAGAATAATATAGTCACTACAACACAATTCACACGATGACAATGAGAATCCAGTACTTTGGTTGGCATGAAAAAAGAAGTGACAATACCTCAGAGTCATCACTGTGAATGATGATTGTCATTGGAGACAATCATCAGAGTAAGATTAGGGGTGAGATAAAAAAAAGTCACTGTACATTCTTAGAATTTTTAAGGTTTTAAAGTCATCTTTGTAGTAAATTATTAATCTCTGGAAACTAAAATATGAAAATCATTTTCAGTTACTTTTTGATCTAAAAATTACCATTTTTAGTTTAGGTTTTACTACATATAATCCAAGTATAATGAAGGATAATTTAGGTCAATAATTTTTAATTTGATAATTGAGCTAATATTTTCATGATCCATTAGTCATAGACTCATATGGCAATTTCCTCATGAGATTCTGTATTAAAAAACAATGTCAGCCAGGTAAGGTGGCAAGTGCCTGTAGTCCCTGCTACTCAGGAGGCTGAAGTGGGAGGATGGCTTGAGGCCAGGAGTTCGAGGCTGTAGTGCACTATGATTGTGGCTGTGAATAGCCACCGCACTCCAGCCTAGGCAACATAGCAACACTTGTCTCTAAAAGAGCAAACAAACAAAAACTGTCCCCCCAAACAAAACAAAAAACAATGTCAATATGATATCTTACGAACATTAGTTATAGATTTGAGTAAAAAGGAAGCTGTATCTAGCCATGGTTCCCGGCAGAACTGAAAGCTAATAATAAATACTCAATGTAGCCTGATTCTTTGTACCGCTCTTTCTTCAAAAACTTAAAAAAAAAAATTAATTACAAGGATGACAAAGCCACTTTTCAAATATGATAAAAACAGAGAATACTGTTTTTAAGAGTCACTCACTGAAATGTGAACACTTAAATGACCAAGAAACTAATAATTTCCAGAATATGTTTCAACAGCAAAATTTGAAATTTATATGTATTTTGTTCCCTGTCATGGTTCACCAACAGTTCATAATGTACAATTAATAGTAGTTTTATTGTTCATAATACATCGTCGTTTTTATATGAAATTAGTCAAGGACAGTTGTTTTACTCAGAAATATCATGTGAGTCTTAAGTAAAGCAAATTTCAGGTGAATAAGACATTCGATCTTCCTTTTAAAATTCTTCTGCCAAATTTCAAATAGGCTTTCATGCTTTAGACGTCTTGGCATTTGAAAGTTGTCATGTAGTTAACATTTTTTAAACCCGACTTCATATTTTGAACCTTTTTGAAAATGATTTTGTGTAAATTTCCCTGGAATTTCAGCTGTAAGGGTACTCTTCTAATCTGGCTTTTGTAGGTGATATGGCTCAATCTCATGAAGACTAAAATGATTATATGACTGCAAGTTCAGTACCCTTTTTAATGCAAATAATATTCTCTGTGTTTGTGTTAATTTGATATGTCACAGGTGCAGAAAGCATTGATTACGTAGCTGTACAAAGACAGAGATATTTGAAACCTCCTTAGAGTTTTACAAGAGTTTTAAAAGCTTGTAAAACTTGGGATGTTAACAAATGGAGAAAGTGGGACATGAATATTAGATAGAACCAGATTGGAAAACACCTTGCCATTCTGACGTTTATTCATGCGCTACCTTGGGCAAGCCCCTTAACATTTCTGAGCCTTAGTTTTCTTGTTTTTAAGTGCAGATAATAATTATCTAGTTCAGAGGATTGTTTATGGGCTAAAAAATATGACAAGTGGAAAAGCTGGCATGTAGCCACTCAATAAATAGCTGCAGTTATTATTTGGTTCTGTTAAATGGAATAAACCTCAACTTTGAATATTTAATCTTGAATAAGAAGCTTGAGGACCTAAAGTTATTTTTAAAGCTTATCACCTGGGCCAAATCTTATGCCCAAGGTGGCTTTACTCAAACTTGCCAATAGATGTAAATAATCATTCTCTCCATCTTCAAAAGTATCCACTGACCCTAAGTACAGTGTCACAAAAGTGCAAACTGACCACATTCTACAGCTCTGAATTCATCAGAACCCAATTGTATCCTGAATGTTACCCATTAAGGTTGTTGATCATACAACAGGAAAGCCTGACAAGTACCTTCCTCAGTTTACACCTGAAACAGAATACTGGGCTTCATCTGTACAGTAAGAATTTCAATTTTTGAATTCACAGATGCTGGAATTCCACTCTGATATTTCAATTCAATGAGTCTAAGCTGCAGCTGTAAAAAGCTCCTCAGATCACACAAATTCTGTTTTTTAATGTGTTTGTCTGTTACCATACTGTTCACAGTTTTTCTATGTTAGTAAATATCTTTCTACAACATAACTTTAAATGGCTTCATAATATAGGCATGCTGCTGGACTTTGTTTCAAACTTGTGATTACCTTCCAGTGCAAGATAGACATCATGTATGTTAATACTCTTGCTATTTATAAAGTGACAGTGACTTAAGTCTTGAATCTTACAGCCCAAGCCCAGTCACAACATTTTGCGGAGAGGAGTGATTACCAGCATCACTGGCTTTGGTGTCAGCCTGAATTCATGCCCCATCTTTGGACAAGTCAGTTAGCAATGCAGGTCCCTGTTTCTACCTCTGCTAAGTGAGGATGATCATAATACCACCTCCTAAGGTTTCGAGAATGACTGAATCTGAATATGTCAAACGCTTAGCACAATGCCTACCACATAGCAAACACTCAATAAACCTTAATGATTGAGGAAAAACTAGGCAACCTCTGACATCCGGGAGCTGGCCAGGCATGCACAGCTGGGCCTGGCTAGTCTACTGATCATAAACAATGTCATAGAATATCAGGTGAAACCACTTAGGGACCATGATGGAGCATGACAAGAACAAGACCACTCTAATCATGCCTGAACACAGGCAAAACACAACTACTGTCCAAACCACAAAATCCAAAACAGTCCCTGGCTAATATGAGTGACAGCCACTTCTTTACCAATCACAGCTTCAGTTGCAATCTGCTCTTTCCTCCTAAGTAAGATGTAATCAAATATCGAATCCTAAAATCCCCTCTTCATGACACTAACAAACGCAGAGGAAAACCTTACTTCCTTTACTCCTTCCAAGGAGAACGGCTTCAAGCCACCAAATCACTTAACACAAGCTCAAGTCTTCCATTAAGCCTTTTCTAACTCCCTCACTGAGGCTCCCCACAACTTCCCATGGCGCGCCTTCTCCCTGGCTGAAATAAACAATACACAACTTGTTCAACTCAAGTTCAACAAGTGTGTTCCTAGTGGTCTTCGGTTGGAGGGCACTGACGGCAGTATTCTGGAACACTTTCTTCATAATGTAACCACAATCTAGGTAGCTTGATTTTTCCCTTGGAATTACATCCCTATAACTTCTGAAGAATTAGGGGTGGAAGCCAAGAAGCAATGAAAGTCAACTCCACTTGACCTGAGAAGCACCAACAGAGATTAAGGATTAAGAAGCATTGCAAGTTTTGTAAAAGGATCACTATAACTTTTATCAGAATATTCGTTAACCACAAGATACCTTTTTAGGATGTAGGTCTGCATATTACCTAAGACCAAAAGAAGAAAAAAAAAATCTAATTGTAAGGTCATCCAGTTGTAAGGTCAAAGTTGTAAGGTCATAGATTGTTCTTAACTCTATAAATAGGTTATTCCAGAAATTCATTTAAAGTTTGTTTCAAAGCTAGAACAGACATTCTAGTTGAAACCATATCATAAATGGTAACTAGGTTTACCCTTCATTCCCAAAGCCTACTGAATACTGAATACCTGTGAAACGATATTTCAAATGCAACATCAATTACGTCTACGTGTCCACGGCAAAATGCATTCTCACCATCAGAAGTCTATCTCATCAGTGTCATCAAAATTAGCAAAAAACATCATGCCAGATGCCAATAACCTAACTCTACAACTGCAGGAGGGGCGTGACCAGGATGCTTTTGCTGCATGGAGGTTTATTATGTTACAGAGCAAGAAGTTTGGCGTTAGGCAGCAGGATTAGTTAATTCAGTGCGTCAGGGGCTCAACAGCTCCCCAGTGACCGAGGTGAGGGAGTGCTAGCTTTGGGCTCTCATTCTCAGAGCCTCGGTGATGATGGCCAGCTCCGTGGTGCCAAGGTGGCTACAGCACTGACATCTTCCCTAACCCCGCATTCTGACGCAGACGATAAAACGCAGTGAGGAAAAGGAGACTTTATGCCAAATGTATTTCTTTTGGAGGGAGGCAGGTGGAAAATATTTTCCAGAAGTACTCACAGTTCCCCATTTTAACTCGCTATGAGAATTTCTCATTGGCCAGGAGTGTATCACATGACCATACTTAAACCAATCACTGTAAGAGGAAGGAGATTGCCGGATTGGTTCAGATCAGTAGTTCTCAGCCCCGCCTGCACAGTGGAATCACCTGGGAACTTTGGAAACAAAATTCCAACTCCTGGCAACAGTATTTTTAAAAGTTTTCAAAGTTCCCCAGCTGTTCCAAATGTATACCCAGAAGTGAGTCCTACTGTATTAGCCCGATCAAGTTTCACTCCAGCCTGAGCCTTGGTGGAAGGTCTGCTCTGACAATGTGGGATGGCAAACACCTGAACAAAATTGGGCCTCTGCCAGCGGTGGGGGGTCAGGGGGTGGGACGCAACTAACTGGATCCGGCACTGCACTCACCTTGCTAAGAGAAGGAATTCCTGTAGGTCAGTGACCCCTAGGTGACCTATAATGAGAAATCAAAAAGATTTGTTATAAGATTTAATGGTTATCTTAATTCCAATAAAAACAAGACCACTCTAATCATGCCCGAATACAGACAAAACTACTGTCCAAACCTCAAAAACTGGAAAATGAGGAAAACACCTAAGCTGCAATTCAAGACTGCTTTCCTCTCTGAGGCTTTTCCAGACACTCTCCCTCCTCCTAGAGAGAAGTAAGCTCTTGTGTCTCCTCTATTCCACACCAGCTTTATTAGGGTATGCACATAAGGCCTGAACTTGATTGCTTGCTGCTCTGCCCTCCTGAAATGTGCCCTCTGGGAGGACGGGGGTAATGTATGTATTCTACTTTGTGTGTCTAGCAACCAGCACACAGGAGGTCCAATAAATATTTGTTGAATGAATGAATGAATGAATGAATGGGGGACACGGAGAAACAGATAAGAAATGCCTGATGTTAAGAGCAAATATTATGGCCGGGCGCGGTGGCTCAAGCCTGTAATCCCAGCACTTTGGGAGGCCGAGACGGGTGGATCACGAGGTCAGGAGATCAAGACCATCCTGGCTAACACGGTGAAACCCCATCTCTACTAAGAAGTACAAAAAACTAGCCGGGCGAGGTGGCGGGCGCCTGTAGTCCCAGCTACTCGGGAGGCTGAGGCAGGAGAATGGCGTGAACCCGGGAGGCGGAGCTTGCAGTGAACTGAGATCCGGCCACTGCACTCCAGCCTGGGTGACAGAGCGAGACTCCGTCTCAAAAAAAAAAAAAAAAAAGAGCAAATATTTACCCAGCACTTATATGTCAAGCACTACGCAAAGCCATGTACACTGAATTGACTCATTGACTCCTAAAAAAACCCTACGATGTAGAAGCTACTATTTCCTTCATTTTAAACATGAACAAAGTGCATTACAAAGAGACTAACCACTTGTCCATGGTCACAAGCTAGAAAGTGACAAGCATGGGACTGGGTCCTGGAGGGTGGTTTGCAGAGCCGGCCATGTTCTTAACCTTTACACCCGAGAGGAAAAATGATGCTCCTGCATTAAGGGTGTAGCCCTCTCTAATGGATCCTAATCTGGAGGAGGGCTGTAAGGGGTGCTGCCATTGGCAGGCTTTGTAACTTTTAGGTTCCTGAAGGCTTTTGCATTCTTGGACTTTTTAGAGGGACAGGGAAAGAGGAATTCCTCAATGACATAAGAAAGGGTGGAAATGGGGAGAAACAAAGGAAAGCATCTAAAATCCTAATCCTGAAAGGGTAAAGCCTGGAGCAGAACTCTCCAATCATGGACAGGAAAAATAAAAAGGTGAATACTTCAGTTATGGTTTACACAGAACGTGCAATTACATGTGCTTCCAAGCTGCCCCTGCCATTTGTGGGGACCACCACCATCTACTGTTCTCATCTCTGATAAACCACAACCTGGAGAGGAATCATGGTTCCAGTTCTAATTTCTGCACTGTATTACCCCAAAGGCCATTTGACCATCTTCCCCCAACCTTTAACTCCTCTGTATTGCCCTTATTCTGGCGGATGCAGCTATTACTCACCCAATTCCTTGGGCCAGAAAACCTGGAAGTCTCCCAAGATTCCTCCTTCCCTCTCCTTCCAATTGGCCTTCCTTCCTCTCCAACTGGCCACCGAGTTTTGTGGGTTCTATTTCCTAAATGAATCTGTTCATTCATTTCATATTGATTATGGGCCACGAATATGCCATGACTTGGATAAGACCCCTATCCCCAGCTTCAAAGAGCTTACCGTCTTAATAAGGGCATTTTGCAAATGAACAACCCATTCTACAGTACAGTGGTACACGCAAGAAAGGGGTAAGCAGAGTCCTGGGAGGGAACACCTCAGGGCTTTATGATTCATCTTGGGAAGCCTGAGGGCTTTTCTGCTGGCAATACCCATGCTGAAATGTGAAGGATGTATACCAGGAACCTGGTGAAGGAAGTGTGCGGAAGGGAAGCAAATGCAACTTTCTGGAGGCTAGAACAGAGTAGTGGAAGTTCACCAGGTCCGCAGAGATTAGCCTGGAAGCTGGTCTCCAGCCCGGTCCTAATCCAGTACCACTGCCCAAAGCTTTCCAAAACTCAAAAGAAAAAACCCAGCACCGTCCTTTCTGTCCCTGGAAGTTTGTCCTTCAAGTCTCCCATCACTTGTCATTCGTTCATCAAGTATTTACTTAACACCCACTCTGTACAGGTACCATATTGATAGCGGCCTCCAGGGCGCCTTCCATTTAGGGAATTTTTAGTCTATTGGAGCAGATAGACCGTGGGGGGCATTCCGGGGATGCTGGGGGCTGTGAGGTCACGCTAGAAGCTGACACTGAAGATGTCAACTACCCTTTAAGGACCCCTCTGCCTCACTGCCCACTGCTCACCCCGTCACTGGGGGCTCCAAGCCTGCCACCGGCTTGTCCTCTGAAGGGATAAGCAAGTGTTCTATTCACTGCCCGGAGTGCCCTTCTGCCCTCGCCCGAGGCCACTGCCCGCCTGGGGCCAGCTCCAGTGCTGCGTTCTCCTAGCGTGGCCACACTCATCGGCGCGCGGCTCTGCCAAGGGGGTTGACGCGGCGCGCACGGCCAGGGAGCTCTTGGGGGCAGACGCCTTCCAGCCTCCCGGCCGCCGGGTGCCTACTCCAGATCGGCTCTCTTCCTAGGCGCCTCCCACGCCCGGGCCGGAGAGCGGGCGCTCGGGGCGACGGACGACCCTGCGCGCACGTGGGCGCAGCCTGGAGGCCGCGGGGACCCTCTCCCATGGGGGCGACGGGAGACGTCCTGCCGGTAGACCTTGGCCAGGGGGTCGCGCTCCCCGCCCGCACCCCTCCCGAAGCCCCGGCGGGGACGTGCGGGGACGCGCCCGGGCGGGAGCGCGCGCGCCAGGCGCCTCCGAGGTCCCCGCAGCGGCTCGGGGCGGGCGGAGGAGGGGCCGAGGGCGGGGCGGCCGCAGCCTCCGCCATTCCCGGCCCCCCCCGGCCGCGGCGCACCGCCTCCCCGCCCCCGCCCGCCCTCCCCCACAGCGCGCGCTCCGCCCGCCCCGGAGCCTCGCCCTCCGCCACGATGAGCAAATGAGCGCGAGCGAGGGCATGAAATTTAAATTCCACTCAGGGGAGAAAGTGCTGTGCTTCGAGCCTGACCCCACCAAGGCGCGAGTGCTGTACGATGCCAAGGTGCCGCCGCGGAGGGACAGGGAGGAGGCGCGGGCTGGGGGACCCGGGACCGAAGGCGGGGGCGGGGGCGGACGGCCGCGCGGAGCTGAGGGACCGGCCGGGCTCCTCGGCCTGCGAGGAGCGGTGCAGCCGGCAGGGGGCGCTCACAGGGCGCTGCGCCTGGGTGTCGGGGCGGGGTCTGGGATGCTTCCACTTCCTTCCGTCAGGCCGGGAGGCGCACGCGCGGTTTGGAGCCTCGCCCGTGCTTTGTCGCGTTACCGGGGCTACCGTTTGCGCCCCGGACTGCAACGGTGGCCGCTGAGGGAGGAGGCCTCTCGAATACGGTTTCTGTCTTCGCGTTAAATCTCTCCTCCTCTGCGGCCCAGTGCCGGGTGGGCTCCTGTGGGACGGCCCTGGCCGTCCGATCCAGGTTCTAATTCATAGTTCCACGGCGCTGGCCGCTGACTTGCGACGTTGTGTCCCTGGGACCCTAGTCCAGTTTAGGCCCCATCCTTCCTGTAGGCCGTGAACCCCACCCCGAGGGCAAGGTTGGCCCAGTGTTTTCGTACCCCAGGGCCTTGCAGCATTTACGTTTTCAAACTCTGAAGGATTTACGTGGGTCTGACCATAGTTGATGGGAATCGCGCCCTGGGCGGGTCCACCTAAGTCTCCGAGAGCTGAGCCACATCTTGCAGCTCCTCAGAATTGGGTGGCGGGCAGGAGTTGGCAGCAGGTCTCCCAGTTCCCCAAGGAAAGCACCCAGGTGCTTTCATTTAAGAGACTTGGCTTCCTAGGGCCTCCTGGGTGAAGCCTTAGGCGGCAGAGACAAGGGCAGTCCCACATGTGTCTTTGGCGATGTCTGGACAGCTCTGTCAATTAGAGATGCTAAAGGACATCCCTAAAGGGATGAGCATATTCTGCCTTCAGTTCCCTCCCCTGTCTTCTAACCTCGTCTGCTGTCCCTCTTTCTCCTTGACCCCGAGCCTCCTCACGGGGCGACACGCCCCATCATTAGTCTTAGTTGTTCCCTCTAGGGACACAACAGGGAGGGATTCCAGAGTCTCCAGCCAGCCGTCCTGGCACTGGATATAGGGGAGCCCAGGAAACTACAACTCCCAGAGGTCTCAGGGCTGCAACTTTCATCTAGCCTGGACTCTTTCCTTAGTGACAAATCGGCCGGCCAATGGCTTCAGAAGCCTCACACTGTCTCACGCTCAGAGACCAATCACGGGGTGGTTGGACGGATGTTTCCTATTTTGAAGGCGTCCACTCGGGGGAAAAATGATAATTGAAAGGAAAAATATTTCAACCCAGCTCTCGGTCTAAAAGAGGAGAGAATGCTTTCTTTTCTTTAAAAAGGGGTCTATGAATTAGTTTTCCTGATGTAACTTCTAATTTTCTGTATGTCCTATCATTTGTGGGCAATATTTCTTGGTTTCAGATTGTTGATGTTATTGTTGGGAAAGACGAAAAAGGCAGAAAGATCCCAGAATATCTGATCCATTTTAATGGTTGGAACAGAAGGTGAGTGAACTTGTTAAACCAGACTGAAAATTGATTGTCTTTGCAGCACAGGAACATTGCAGACTTCTTTTTAAGTTTTAGAAACACTTGTAGAGAACTTTGTTTCATTTCCTGTTTTTACTTTGTAACACTGCAAACTTCTTTAAGTTTTAGAAACACTTGTAGAGAAGTTTGATTCATTTCCTGTTTTTACTTTGTTACCAGAACTTGCCTATTCTGAGGAATAGTTACTTTTAAGTCGATTGTATTTGAATTCTGTCTGGGTGATTCTGGAAACCCCAGTTGTTTCTCTGTCTGAATGAGTTACTTTTTAAGTTTATTTGCCTCCTCTTTGTGATTTTAAAATATTTAAATCGTTTTCTAAAATGTAATTCTGGGGCATTTCTATTGCTTTGAGGTACTTTTAGCCTTTGTTTTATATCAAACTAAAGTACTGAATTTTCCTTTTTTGTTCAATTAGCTGGGATAGATGGGCAGCCGAAGATCATGTGCTTCGTGATACCGATGAAAATCGTAGATTACAGCGTAAATTGGCAAGAAAAGCTGTAGCTCGCCTGTAAGAATACACAAATCAAGATATAAATGTTATCCATTGTGTTTTCTCTTAGTGTTTTAGACTTTTATGATAGTAATAAAATGACAAATATTTATTAAGTAATTTTACATATTTAAAGTGTGTAAGAGGAAGAGTGTTCCTATGGTATTCTAAATAACCTTAGTGTTTTCAGATTGGTTATTGTATAATCTTCTGAAATGGAAATTACCATTTATGTTCTGAAGTTTAATGATTTTTCAAATGTATTTCATTGTTTATTATATCTTGTTTTGATCTCAGGACTCAAGAGTTCAATGTCAAAATTTATTTCAGTTGTTTGCTACTCTTTTTCAGGAGGAGCACAGGAAGAAAGAAGAAGCGCTGCAGGTTGCCTGGTGTAGACTCTGTCTTAAAAGGCCTCCCCACTGAAGAAAAAGATGAAAATGATGAAAACTGTGAGTAGCTTCACTTCATTTTCTTTGGCTGAAAGAACTTCCACCTAGACTGAGAGAAGGATTCGTTGAAATTCTAGACAGGGAAACACTTCAAGCTCATTATGTATAATATTTGCTCCATTTATTTTTGACAATTAAAGTAGCAGTCAATATAAGTCGATAAGTCAGTAATAGTACCTTAGCAGAGTCATGCTTGTGACTGCTGCCCTCTCAGCCAGCATCTTTGTACAAACCCCTCACGGGTGTGTTCTCATGGGATCTGTTCTCTTTTTGGCACCTCCCAGACCTTAGTCTCATTTATGAATGCAACAGGAAACTGTAGGATCCTGACAAAACACTTTCCGATCATTAGCTTGTGTGATTTTTGCATATGTTGAAATTGGTTGTCAAAATAAATTTCTATTGTGAAAGATACAGCATTTGTGTTTGGCATTTAAAAATACATGGAATTGCAGTTTGTTATTTCCAGTAGCACCCGCACTACAGGTGAAGATCTGTAGACATAAGGGTTGGTGAAGTATATAATGCAAGTTCACCAGATGCTTTTGTTTCACCTAGCATTAAGCAGTTCCTCTGACTGTAGTGAAGACAAGGATGAAGAAATAAGTGAAGAAAGTGATATTGAAGAAAAGACTGAGGTGGTATAAAATTTTTATTGTAAAAACTTTCTCTTTGTTGTATATTTTAGTGGTAAAAGTTCACAGTGAAATACTCCAGTTGTGAAGATACATCTTTTAAACCAATAATGTAAATTTTTATCTGACATTTAAAGAAAAACAACCCTTATAGTCACCGTATGAGTCTCTCAGTGGCTCTTTATGCCCCTAAAATGTTTCCACAAATTATAGTTATCTTTCTTTCCAGTCAAATAATTTGTTTTATAATGATAAATTTCTTTTAATGGAGTCTACAGACTGTGATGTCTTCTGCCTGCTTCCAAAGTTAGTATAAATCCGACTGGTAAACTTAAATGGGAAAGAAATGAAATACATATTTGCATTGTGTTTAGTGCCGCCAAACAAGTTAACTTTTGGCCGTTAACATACTTTTAATTAGAACACCTGGCATACTATGATTGTTGAGGATTAGCTGGGTTTGTTTCATAGCAGGCCTTCCTTGGATATTGACTCTCCTACTGTTTTAAATAGTTAAAAATGGAATTTTGATATTGCAGAAAGAAGAACCAGAGCTTCAAACAAAAAGGGAAATGGAAGAAAGAACAATAACTATAGAAATCCCTGAAGTTCTGAAGAAGCAGCTGGAGGATGATTGTTACTACATTAACAGGAGGAAACGGGTATGTAGGGAGAATGCATAAAACATTGATTTGTTTGGCATTTTCATTTTGCCATATTTTGCAGTCATAGACGTAAGCAATAATGAATTTTGGAGGAATGAAATTTATATTTTTCAGCTTTGTCTGAGTCAGGTTTTAAAGTTCTCTGCCAGTGGTGCTGTGCAGCTGATTAAATTATAACTCACACAGCCCTGGCTGCCCATTAGGGTTGTGTTGGGAGCTTTCCAGAATCCTGCTGCTTATGCTTCAGCCCAGAAGTTAAGAATTAATTGATCTGTGGTGGAGCCCAACTGCAGGTATACTTGAAGGAATCCCCCAGGTTGTTCTAACAGATCACTAAGCTTAAGAATCACTGCTTACATCTATTCAAAAAAGTAATATTGTAATCAACATAAGGTTATGATCAGTAGAGGAAAAAAGATCAAAGAGATTGCAAACATATTTAAGAAGTTCTATTCAAACAGAATTGGCTTTGCTTTATTTTTGAGTTAAAAAATGGTACAGACATGACCAGTGTTTCTTGGAATATGTGGTTTGTTACATTAGGATGCATACATCAGATGTCTATGTTTTTGTTAACAGTTAGTGAAACTTCCATGCCAGACCAACATCATAACGATTTTGGAATCCTATGTGAAGCATTTTGCTATCAATGCAGCCTTTTCAGCCAATGAGAGACCTCGTCACCATCACGTTATGCCACATGCCAACATGAACGTGCATTATATCCCAGCAGAAAAGAAGTGAGTACTGGCATGTTTGGTATTTTGTGGTTCTCTCTGTATTAGAGAGGTGGCTTCCATTTAGAATAGGTGACA